TGGAGGAAGAAACACTGGAGAAAAAGGCGGAAGTATGAAAGTGCAAAGATTGCCCCGAAGACAATAGCCTGGTAAGGCTGGAGCACAGAGACGGAGGCAGGAGACGAGGCTGGGGAGGTTGGAAGGACCAGGCTCTGACAAGACTTGAATGCCAGTCCGAAGGGTGGGCTTTTTCCTGAGATCAGGGAGGAAGGCAGTTTGGCCTTCTGCCAAGATCACCATGACTGTCGGGGAGAGTGGAGCCGCCGACTGGAGGCAGGGACCGGGAAGAAGACAGGTGTGAGGTCCGGGACAGCAAGTCCCCATTTGCCTGGACCAGGCAGTGGCAGCAGGGTAGAGAGTGATGAGTTGATGCTATCCCAGGGGAGGTGGAAAATCAGTTGTGGGGAACCCCTGGGAGGGGGAGATAGGCACAGCTTTCTGTCTGGGTCCAGCATCATTGACAGTCACTTTTTTAGGGCAGTGTGAGGTCCGCATTGAACTCAGGGAATTTGGGTGCAGAGAGTAACCCAGGGGGAGACACCTAGGACGTCATGTGCTCCAGGAGAGAGGATATGGGTTGGAGGGTGGCATGTGTGGATAGGAGATAACAGAAGCCACAAGTGGTTAAAGTTGGCCGTTGTGAGTGAGAAGTCCCTACCATGTGCCCCAACTGCGAAGAGCAGAACAAAAGAAGGAACCTACCCCAGAAGTTTGTTCCAGGTGCCAAAGAGTATAGGGGGTCAGAGCTACTGGAAAGGCCGCGAGCCTCCAGCACCAACACCCCCACTGCCTGGGCCTGGGAAGGGAAATATTCTAGCTGCAAATATTGGACAACCCATCCCTCCAGAGGTATTGGGATGGGAGGCCCCCAGCCTTGTTGCTACTGGCCCCTGCCTCGAGTTCTCCCTATCTCTTATGTTGCCCTGGGTTCCTTTGGCCTGCTAGTCCCCTGCTTAGCGCCTGTGGCCCAGATCAGCTGTGCTTCCCTCCATAAAATCCCTCTCTCAGGTCAATTCCCTCTGCTCTTTCTCTGGGCTTTACTGCTGTTGGTCACTCTCTTGAATTATTCATATCACTCTCTTATCTGCCTCATCAGGCAGTAAACTCTCCCAGGGTAGAGGTCTGTGTCCTGTCCTGATGGATCATGCATGGTAGGTCCCCAGTGAAACCCTCTGGCTCAGACTTTGGATTCAAATATTTGTTTTGCCTTATTGCAATGTGACCTCAGACAGCTTATTTAGCCTTGCTAAACCTCAGTTTCCTTCTCTGTAAGAGAAAATAGTACCTGTCTCACAGTATTTGGGGCAAGATTAAAGGAAAACACCCTATGCCTGGTACATGAGGTACTCAACGATGGCTAGTCCCCCTCCCCCACTCCCAGCTATACTTGCAAACTAGTACAGGCTCCTCAGCCCTAAGGAGGGCAAGGCTGCTGGGAGCCACTCCCACCTCCTCATCTACCTATGCCTAGTGAGTGTGAATCTCTGGCCGCAATAGCTTCTTGCCATTCCCCACAGCCATCATGTTCTCTTCCACCTCTCTGCCTTTGCACACACTGTACTCTCAGTCTGGCATGTCCTTTCTCCCCAGCAAACTATTTATCTTTCAGGGCCTTTCCTAGCTTATACTTGGTTGTTGAGTTGAACTAAACTGAATGAAGGAGGAGAGAAGGGAGGAGCATGGGGCAACAGAAAGGACTGTCCCCAGGATGTGATGGGGCCAGCATGGGGGCCCTGAGTGTTCCTGTTCCCAGTTTGACCAGGCCCAGCATTCTGGAGGGGAAAGAGTCAAAGGCGGCGGGTGGGGGGCGACTCAGGGCTTCAGGCTTGGCTGTCATTTTGGGGAATTTCCTTCTAACAAGACCCTTGGGCAGACCACTGGGAGGACAATAGCATGCTTGAAGTCCAGCTGTTGCGAGACTATAGTTGTTGCTTCTTGAGGGAGAGCTGGCAGGGTAGAGGCACTTTCTGGTGGTTTCCGAGCCTGGTCAGGGACCCCATGCTGGGACTTTCTGTTCCCGGTTCTGGCTCCAGCTACTCTATCTAGACCCATGATGACCTTAAAAACAGTGACCAGAGTCTGGGGGAAGGGTGATCCCTGAGCCCACGGAGATGCAAACCAGTCTCCTGAGGCCCAAAACAAGGAACTCGAAGGGGCAGCTATTGGCCAAAGGCCACGCTCCTTCCCCTCTGTGTGGTCCTTGTTTATCTCTTTCTGTGCTTACGATCCCATTTCACTCCATGTCGGACTCTCAGTCCTCCAAACACAACTATTTGAGCCACAGAGATCCCGGGGTCTAGAGAGGAACTCTGGGTCGGCTCCCTGCAGATCCAACCGCCTGAAGCCTGTGCTCTCCAGGCACAGGCTGGGCACAGGAGTGTCAGTACAGACTCGTCAAGAAAGGAAAGGCCAGAAAAGGCCCTGATACCTGGTGGGGGCTTGAATTCGAGCCCTGACTCTGTCACTGACTAGCTGCATGGCCTTGGGCAGATAACCGGACTCCTCCCCTGGCCTTGGTTTTCTTACCTGTAAAATGGACATCGGAGTGCTTTGTACTTAGAAAAGTGCTGCATACATGAGTGGGGTTATTATGAATGTTCCCAGGACACAGAATCTCTCAGCCACTGAAGCCTGGCCACTGCCCTCCTCAGAAACCTTCTATAGCTCCCAATTTTCTCCAAGACAAAGTCCATATGCTTAGCCATAAGTTCCTTGTGATTGAGTCTCATCAGTTTCTTTGGCTTAACTTTCCAAGATAATGCCCAAAGGGCCTTCACCCATGACTCCAACTGTACTGGCAACTCATTCCCACAAACACGCCAGGTGCAGTCACTTCACCTAGCATTTGCAATGCCATCTCCTCCCCTGGAATACTCATCCTATGTGGGGTTTGTGTAAGGGAAGAGAAAGCCCAAGGACAATGACACAGAGAAGAAAGAGCTTTGGCGCCAGACAGACCTGGGCTCTGGCCCCTACCCTGCTGCTTACTTGCTGGGTGAACCTGGGCCAGTTATTCGCCCTCTCTGAGCATCTGTTTCCTCATCTATTAAAGAGGAAATCTATTAGGAAATTTCAATGAGTTTTCATAAAGCCAGTGATGCAGTGCTGGAATTTGAGCCTAGGACTGCTGGCTCTTTCCTGTGCCCCACCTGGCTGCCCCAGGATGGCTCTCAGATGGGTTGGAGAGAGCAACAGCAGCAACACCGGAAATGAGGAAGGGAGAACATCAGAGAGAGGGTCAAACAGCCTATGGGAGCTGACAGGAGAGGTTACCTCTAGCTGGGAGAATCTGAGTTGACATGTAGAGGAGTTGAAAAACAGCACATTTTACCAGAAAGGAATGTGGGTGGGGGCTTCCTGAGCCAAAGTGCAGAGGTGGAAAAGCGGGGTCTCTGAGTCATACTGTGCAAAAGACCTGTACCTTCCGACAAAGAAGCGCTGTCTGCTGCCCAAGATTAGGTGGCACGTTGGTGGAGGGGCTCTGTCAGAGCCAGAGCTGACCTTCACTCCTCTCTGATGTCTGCCCCTGGCTGGGACAACTGTCCCCTCTCCTTGGGAACTCTTCCCAGGTTCCAGGCTCTATATCCTTCCCTACCTGCATTCCCACATCACTCAGAGCTCCACGGTGAGCCTGGCCATGGCTCAGATTGGAGCTCAGGAAGCAAGGCTAGAGGTGGCTTCTGGTGGCCCAGTGAGCAGACACTGAAGTTAGCTTCTGCTGTCTGTGTGACAGGTCAGGGGCAGCTAAAGAATATTCCAGAGATGGGCCCTGAAGAGGCCAGAAAAATAGTCATGGGGTGCTGGGATGTGGGGGGAGGGGCAGGTGCAATACAGCTGAAGTCTCTGGTTTCTTTCCACGCCCACAGGGTTGCCAAGGCTGATTGGGAATTTGGTTTGTCAGTGGCCTGTCCCCACCTCCCCCCAACCACCCCAGCCAAATCTGACCTCACTCTCATCTGTTCTGTGAGGTCCCCTGAGAGGAAACATCCACCCGCCCTTCCTTCCACAGTCCCCAAGCTATGGCTGCGTCCTCCTGGAGTCCCCGCAGCTGCACCTCAGCCAGGTCTGCCTCCTCGGCCTATGAAGTCCTCCTGCGAGCGAGTCTGGCCCTGCCTGTGTGGGTGTGAGGCTAACACGGGGGAGGACAGACAGCTGAGAGGGAGGTCAGAGGTGTCCAGTGCGGAGTCCTCCCTGTCTAAAGACCCTTTGTTTCTTGCTCCGCCCTGACTGCCTGGGAAATGCTGGGCCAGCCACTCCCTTCCCAGAAACACCGCCCTCGCCGCAGGGGGGCTTCCTTGACCACTCTTCATGCTGGGCTTCAAGACATTTATTTCTCCTTGCCCCCACCCCCAGCCAACCCACGCAGTTCTCTGCAGGTCTCTCTGAATCCTCCTCTCTTCCGGTGGATCCTTCTGATTTTGTCTTCAGATCTGTTTGTCGGCACCTTTCTGGCATCTGTCTCCGATCCCCCTCTTGCTCTCACTGCCTCCTGCTCCTCCCTGTCTCTCCCAGTCTCTGCCACAGTCATCTCTCCAGGACTGATCTCCTTCCCTCTCCCTACATTCTCCGGCTGACACCTGTTGATATTTGTCTTCTCCCTCTCTGTCTTTGTTGGAGTCACTTTTTCTGTCTCTCTGACTATACTTCCCTCTGTCTCTCTTTTTCTCTGCTCTGTCTCTATTTGTCGCCTTCAGAGAGGGGGAACAGGGCACAATGAGGGGGCCAGGGGCCTGTTTTTCTGTTGTCCTCTTAAGTCTCTCTGTCTCATCAGGGAAGTTTGGCTGGGTTCCCTGCCTACAGCTGAGTAAACAGTGACCCTTCCCACACGCCCCGGTCATTCACTCATTCATTCATTTCACTTTTACTGGGCTCCAGCCTCGTGCCTGGCTCATGCAGAGCTGAGAGTGCTCATCTCAGACCATTGCACCCATTTTGGCTCTACAGCCCCACCGTTCCTGCTGGGAATGTGGACCCCAGACTCTCTTTCAATACCCCTTCCTTAATTTGTCCGAACTTACCTATCCTGGGTCCCATGGCTGTTGGGGTGCAATGAACTCCAGCCCCTAATGCAATTTCTGGACCAGGAGCTTAGCAGGGAGAGTAAGCAGGCCCTCTCAGTGGGTCCTGGAGACAACAGCAGTGAGTCACAGCAGGGATGCACTAACAGTAGAAACTCCATGCACTGGGTCGACGTTTCTTGGGCCACACTGGACAGCAGCCTCGTCCAGGCGTGGGTTAGGGACTGCACAAAGTCCACCCCACTCTCCTAGGACCTCTCTCCCTGGGTCACTCGCTCCTTCTGTCTCTGCCCTGGCTCCAAGAGTTTTGTGGGAGGTTGGGTTTGTTTAAGTCCAGCCTCCCAGCTGGAAGGAAGCTGTGCTCCGCCTCCCTACAGCTCAGACCCAGCCTGTCCCTTCTCAGCCTCTGGCTTCGGCATTTCCCTGGGATGTTTTCTTCTGCTCTCTTGGTGGTGGAGAGGAGGGAGGCATAGGGGATGTTGATGGGTCTTCCCAAGCCTCCAGCCCTGATCCTCCAATCCTACTGCACTCCCATTTTCAATCTGAGCGCCTTCTCCAACCAAACTCTTGTCCCCCTCACAGAATTTTGTTGCTCTTGATGAACCCCCCCATAGACAGTCCTTGTTTCCCCACTGAGCCACTGTCCTCCTTCACTGAACTCCTGTCTCCCTCAAGCCTTCGTCCCCTCTTACTAAACCCCTATCTCCTCTCTGAGCTCCTAGGATGCAGGTCAAGGACAGACTATCTACTGGGAATCACAATGGCAGCACGCCTGGGGGAAAGTTCCATAAATTATAGCCATCTAGGAGAAGGGAGAAGGGGACAGAAGGGTGGACTTGAAATTCCCAGTGTCTTCCAGACTGAGGACTGAGGATGGAGACTTTGAAACCAGGCCAGGCCTGGGTTCTATCTCAGCTGTCATTCATTGGTGGACTGACCTTAGGCAAGTCCCTGCACCTCTCTGAGCGTCACTTCCCTCTTCTATAAAGAAGGGACAATAATCCTCCCTTGTAGGGCTGCTGTGAAAGTTCAGTGAGCGAGAAAGAAGCCAAGCCTGGAGGCCTTGACTCCAGAAGGGAGCTGCAGAGGCAGGGCTCAGAACTGGGCAGAAAGAGAAAACAAACCTGTTTTGACTTGACTTTCCCAGCTTGCACAAAACCCTCACACAGGAGGCCCCAATGGGCCCTCCCATCAACCCTGGAGACCAAGTACTTATTCCCCCATTTTACAGATGAGGCATTGAGTCTCAGTAATTCACCTGCCCATGTCTGGAACCTCTGATGCTAAATCAGGCTTCTTCTGCCCAAGCTGTCTTCTATGACAAAGATCTCTGGATTTCCCCAAATCTAAGATGCAGAAGTGAACCTGAGCCCATGCCAGGAATAAGGAATTTTTTGGGTTTTTGTTTGTTTTTATGAAACGGCATCTTGCTATGTTGCCCAGGCTGGTCTCGGACTCTTGGCCTCAAGCAGTCTCTTGCCTCAACCTCCCAATATGCTGGGATCATAGGCATGACCCATCATGCCTGACCCAGAATAAGGTCTTTGCATCAAATGGAGATGTGAGTTTGGAGTCTAACTTTTGAGGTGCAATAATAGAGAAACACACATCAGTCCCACTTGGCTCTTACTTGCTGAATGAGGGTGCTGGTAGGAAGCAGGGAATGTTTGAAATAATCACAGATGTCCCTGCCACTTAGGAGACAGACATTCAATAGATACTTGTTGCATGAATGAATGAGTCTTTGAGAAATGTGAATGCATAACCACTGCACTGCGAAAGGTCAATAGCTGGCTTGGATTGACAGGCAGACCAGACACTGATCCTGCTTGAGAAAACCAAATGGAATCTAGCTCTCTAAATCCTTCAGACCAGGCTAGGCACAGTGGCTCAAGCCTGTAATCCCAGGACTTTGGGAGGCAGAGGTGAGAAGACTGCCTGAGCCCCAGGTGTTTGAGACCAGCCCGGGTAACTTGGTGAGACCTCGTTGCTACAATAAATCAAGAAAAATTAGCCGGGCATAGTGGTGTGTGCCTGTAGTTCCAGCTACTTGGCAGGCTGAGGCGGAAGGATCATCTGAGCCCAGCAGGTTGAGGCTGTGGTGGCTGTGAGCATGCCACTGCATTACAGCCTGGGTGAGAGAGTGAGACTCCAATTCAAAAAATAAAAATAAATCAATCCTTTAGACTGAAGTCAGCACTGTGAGTCCTCACAGAGATTGGCAGAGGTACAACTTGGTAGAGGTACAATTTGGGAGACTCCAAATGACAGGTATGAGGTTCCCGTTAGACTTTCTGAAAACTCGTTATGTCCACCTTGCTTCTATACATGGGATGGTCTGAGTATACAGTGAGATCATTTTGGCAAAGTTCATCTTCTTGATCTTTGAGTCAAACAAGGCCTGATACTGCACAGGGCATGGTACCCTCTGACATGAGTGGTTTTCTTTTCTTTTTTTTTTTTTTTAAGTTGGAGTCTCTCTCTTTTTTTGAGTCGGAATCTCACTCTGTCTCCCAAGCTGGAGGGCAATGGCATGCTTATGGCCCCTGCAGCCTCCACCTCATGGGCTCAGGAGATCTTTCCACCTCAGCCTTCCAAGTAGCTAGAACTACAAGCGCACACCACCATGCCTGGCTAGTTTTTTTGATTTATTGTAGAGACCAGGTCTCGAATCCTGAGCTCAGGGAATCCTCTTGCCTCTGCTTCCCAAAGTACTAAGATTACAGGCTTGAGCCACTGTGCCCAGCTATGAGTGGTTTTCATTTGTTACCTCAACCTCCCCAGGCTTATAAAGCATGGTCCAAGAATATTCCTGAGCTCATGGCTGTGGAACCGGAGTAAGGATCATGTACCCAGAAGCCTCTGGGACTGAGGCTGACTGGTCTTCAGACTGGTTCCCTGAATAACCCTGTAGTGAGATCCCACTGTGGGTGGCCTAGGCCTGAAGTCTGACGCTACTGGTTTGTCCCCGGCATTGCCACTTGCCAGCATGTGGTGTTTGCTGTGCCCCATGTGTTTTACAGAGTGTCATGATGTGTGTGGATCCCAGCACCATCTGTGGATTCCCACAGTTTGCAAAACTTGATGCCTTTTTTAGAGCCCTGTGCTGGCAAAGCCTGACACAATCTGTAAACACTGCAGCTTCCAGGGCCCTGTGATGTTCATGTCTCATGCTAAACCTGATGCTGTCCGTAAAACACTGGGCTATTCGCAGAACCAAACCCTTCCTCTCTTTATGTCAGTTCATTTGGGGAAATGCCTCTCTGTAAACCAGGAAAATAGCAGACACTTCATTTTACAGAACTATCTGCTTTTGGATACAAGGGAAGAGTACTGGACTCCAGAGTAGAGATCTCAGTGCTGGTCCCAGCTCTGTCACAACCATGTTGTAGGACTTTGAGCAAATCCTTTGTCCTCTCTGGGTCTTGGTCTCCAATCTGTTAAGTGGAGATCGTGACATCAGACCACCCACCTTCAGGGCTGTCCTGAGGATCACTGTGAGGTTGCTCAGAAGATGGGGAGCATGGGGAGAGAGCAGGGGTGAGAAGGGGAACAGAAGTCAGGAACTCCTTCCCGAAAAAGGCTCCAAACTGCCACCTCAGCCCCTTGGCGCCCACTTCCCTTCTGGCCTGGCAGCAGGGAGCGGATATCTATAAATGAGACCTGGGACAGGCAGACAAACCAGGGCCTCAGTCGGAGCCTCGGCCTTCCCCACCTCCAGATGCGCCTGGAGGGAGGGGTCAGTCCCCATCCCCCGCTGTGTGGACATGCTCCCATGCAAGGCTTGTTAACTCTACCCAAGGTGTACTTATTTCATTCCTGAGAACACTGCCACTCAGAGAGGCAGTGTGTCTTGCTCCAGGGCTACCCGGTGCATCGACAGCCGGGGCTGGGATCTGAGCCAAGGACGGCATGGTCTCCAGAAGGTCAGTGTGGGGAGGAGCTTATTTAATTCTACCTTTCTTTTTTTCAGGTTGGGTGACTGAGGCCCAGAGAGCGTGGTGGCCACTGGGGAGTCGCTGTCTGTCTTTCCCTGGGCTTTAGTTTCTTAGCTGGTTGAGAAACAGGCCCCTGCCAAGCTACCAGGGCTCTCCCTCTCTTCGCTGGTGCGGTGCCGCCATCAGGATATACTGAGCTCCCGCAGTTCTGCAGGCCAGGAGGAGCTGGGTGGGTGTCCCGGTTGAGCAGCCCCATCCACCCAGATTCTGCCCAGCAACTGGCTCTTCCAGCACCCCCAGTCTTGTGCAGCCCCTGCTGTGCTCCCAGGAGCAACTTTAACCCCATCTGAAGGTTCCTCCCTGCCTCCAACCAACCACTCTCTGGGGATGCTGCCCCGCCCTCACTCCCACTTCAGTAAGGCTCCTTTGCCCCACAGCAGCCTTCCCCTGGGTCCAACGGCCTCGTCTCCCACCAGGCTCTCCCTCCAGCCTGGACAGAGTGCATACTGGCTGGAAATTCTGCATCCCCCCCTGAAAGGGAGCCTTGCCCCAGAAAGAGCATGAACTCAGACGGTTTAAACCTGGCCCGATAGGAAGCTCTCTGAGGCTGTTTCCTCATCTGTAAAACAGAGATGACAAATGTTTACTGAAAAATCATGAGATCTATAAATTTGGAGAGGAGACGTTATTTCTTGTAAAGGGTTACAGCTTGCAAGATGGACATTCTGACAGGCGTCAGCAGAGCCCAGAGACAGGCACTAAGAAGGAAGAGGGTTTAGCTAAGTACACATATTCAATAGATTACAGGAGGAGCTACAAATATTCATGAAGTTGATCCTAACACATGTGTATTATACAAAATGGGTGTCACATATGACCCATGTTCACGTTGTGGAGGAGAATTAACACTTAAATGTATTACAATGAGGCCCCATATGTCAGAAGGTGAAACAGGAGGCCGGATGTCTCACACCTGAATCTCAGCACTTTGGAATGTCAAGGCAGGAGGACTGTTTTAGCCCAGGAGTTCAAGACCAGCCTGGTAACATAGTGAGACCCCCGCCTATACATACACACACACACAAACACACACAGGCAGACACACACAAACAAAATAGTCAGGTGGGGTGGCATGCACCTGTAGACCCAGCTAGTCAGGAGGCTGAGGTGGGAGGATCACTTAAGACCAGGAATTCAAGGCTGCAGTGAACTATAATAGCACCACTGCACTCCAGTCTGGGTGACAGAGCAAGACTTTGTCTTGAAAAAAAATAAAATAAAAATAAAAAAAGTCGGGCATGGTGG